GCACGTGTTCCAGGCCCTACAACCGGGAGAAGAAAGACGGCTTATAGCCGAACGTAGAGCCCGTGCTCTAGCAGCAGGACTACAGGAAGCAAACACAGTAGCAAGAGAGCGGGCAACAGCAGCCAGAGCAGCAGCAATGGCTAACGGTACCAGCTCAGCTGCGTCATCGTCTGCGTCCTCGTCAGGGACTAGTGGGAGCCAGTTGGGAATGCCAACGAGTTCCACAAGTTCCGCGGGCACTTCCGGTTCAACAGGGTCTAGACAGTTTTCTAGTCAAATGGCGGGCTCGCAGTTCAGCCCGATGACCCCGCAAGAGAGGGAGCTCAGAGAGATCCAACAGGTCGAGAGGCTCCGCCAGGAGTTAGAGGAGGATCTGAAGAAAGCAACCGATAGAGAAAGAGAGATAAAAAGTAGAGCGGCCAGACTTGATACATTAGAGGCTGACAAGGCTGCGTTAGAGGGATTGGATGAAACGGGTTTGTCTGACCCCCTGAAAGTGTTGAAGAACAACATGTTGTCACTACATGCGCACGTAGAGAGCAGGTTGGACTTCATGCAGAGCACTTTGGACCAGATCCTGGATGCATTGACAAGGCCAGGGTTCTGGCCACCAGCACAATCGCCGTTGCCGTTAACGGCGATGTCAGGCCCCTTTCCCGTACAAGTTGGCACCCAGCCAAGTGGTACGTCTGCAGCAGTCTCACAGACTATTGCGTCTTCTTCTTCGGGTCCAGCGGTGATTGCTGCATCACCACAACAACCTGTTCAGCAATCTGGACAGCCGCAAGGTCAGTGGTATCCCAAGACCCCAATGAAACCGCCTCTTGCCTTCTCAGGCGAGAGAAAGGACGAGGAACTCAACACATGGTTGAGGACAGTCCCGGTTTGGGTGAAGGCCAAAAGGACCTTGCCTGAGGACGAAGTGGTAACGACGGCGTCTTACCTAGAGGGTAAGGCAGCCAAATGGTTAGATGGTGTAGTTGTGAAGGCCGGGTATGGGCGATGCATGGCGGACTGGGCTAAGTCTTTGACTCTAGACCAATTCATGGAAATGGTAGAAGCTCGATGGCATAATCCACAGGAGGCGCAAAGGGCCACTGATGCCATTAACAAACTGGACCAACGCAAGTTCAGGTCAGTTAGGGAGCTTACGATTACCGTTGAGAGCTTGATCCTCGTCCCAGGTATCAACTACAGCGACCAGTTCCTATTGACGACGTTTGTCGGATGTCTCCCAGAGAACATGAGGAACTTACTAGCCAGTGAGGCACGCACCGAGTACCACTCGTTTGAGACATTGTCTAGGAAAGCCTTAGACTTAGAGGCCACGCTAGGCAATGCTCAACCCACCTCAGGGAATGACTCAAAGAAGAAGAAGAGTCCTCAGGAGTGGAAGAAGAAGGGGGCGAAGTTGATGATGGTTGAGTCTGATGGGACTCAAACTGAGATCGATGAGCTCTCTGACCTGATGGACTACT